AATGCCTTAAAAAATATGCATTAAAAACTAAAAGTAGGGGCCGGCAACGCGGACCGGGCCAGCTAGTTTTAAATAATCATAAAGCTCATAAAACGCCAAATTAACATCCGATTCCATTTAGACTTGGCACATCTCAATATTTCTATTACAAGATCTGTTATAAAGGTGATATAGATCGAACCATTTCTTCTCCCCCATACATAGGGTTCAAAATTTTGAAAAACAAAACGCTCAAATAAAGCGAAATAAACTTCCAACTCTCTTCAAATTTTCACACATACAATTTTTGCTAACACAAGATCTGTTGTGAAGTTGATATATATTTTCCAACCCCTTATGGGCTCACAATTTTTAATAATTATATCTGTCATAACTTTCGAAACAATTTAGCAACTCTTTACTACTAGATATGCTCAAATATTTCTCTCAATAAGAAGCCTGATATGAATATGAAATTTATCGGAATTTATGATTTCGCATGAAATTAGACATAAATATCCTTTCTTGTAATGTTGCCCAATATTTCGCTCAATAATTTGTATTTGTATTAGATGAAGTATAAAAGTCACGCACATTTTAAGATTTTCTAAAAGAAGTGAGTTGATATAATCCATACCAGGAACATCGGAATATTTATATCATATTTTTGGGTCCGATACGAAATAGACAATATTCGCCCATTCCTTCGGAACCTGCCCCATTTCGGGTCAAATGTTTGAATAATTGTAACACTAGTCAAATTATATTTAAATAATCGAACACAGGATGAGGGTATACATCTGTCGGTAATACCGACTGATACTTTTTAACTTGTTAATATCAAATTTCACTACAGGGCAATGTGAACATATTTTTGGCCTTAATAGAAAAAATCGCCGTTGTACTTAACAAAATGCCAAAGGAAACTTTTTTAGGGTTAAGGAACAGCGAGACCACGTTAGATAATATATTTTTCTAGCCAAATTTCAAAAATGTATATTTTTGAAATTAAAATAATTTATTGAAAATTAATTATTCTGTTTACAGTTTTGGACATGTAACTCTGACACTTGTATTACTTACAAAAATATTGTATGAGGTTGTTGTTACGATTGTTGTACAACACCACTTGCTGTTACCTGTATTATTCTACCATGACATTGCTTATATAAATATATTCTCGAAAAAAGACAGCAACATATCAACAAAAGAGCTTAAGTAACGGTCTCACGGCGGTGTCACTTTTGTACGCATGGAAGGCACAGAAATGATAACAGTAATTTGGAAAACGCAATTCTCTTTACAATGGAAACGAATTTAAATACGGCTAATTACAATGGGAACAACTGATTTGGATTTAATTGCTAGAGGTAACAACCGTACTAACATAAATGATTAAATATAAAATAGGTAAATTTGCTGTAAGATTCCCAGCAATTAATGTGTTGTCTTCCATTATAAAATATAATTTGCTCGGTAGTTAATACTACCTCATTTTCAATTTAAATATTTATTTCCATCTTGACAAATAATATAAGAAAAAAAGAAAAATTATTAAATATATGAAATTTAATAAATATGTACTTGATGTACACACGCACTTCTTTTCGGAAGAATATTAATTACCATGGCAACAAGTTCTTTTTGTTTCATTATTATCATCATCGACCCCGCCACTTTGTCATTGACTTGCTGGAACATGGTTTTCCTTTTTAAATACATCAAGGACAATGAACGGATGATACTAATTAGAAGAGTGTTCATTGGACGTAATAGCAGTGCATCCTTTTTTGCACATTTATATTGGCGTTAGAGTTGTTCCGTAGCCGCGGCGAAGGTATGCATGCAACGTGGGAGTAGCAATAAAAAAAAACGGAAGTTCATGGATGAAACTAAGTCGATTATATTTATTGTTTGAAATCATTTAAAATAATTAAGAAAACAATGGCATTTAGAATGGACAAATAAATCAAGTAATAAGCTTATAATCGACGTAATGTACCATGGGATGGAAGGAAAAAATATATAAGAAAGGTAAAGTCATTTCAAATAAGCATACCCATATCTGCATTTTCTGTAATTTATCTTCTAAAATCTCACTCAATAGAAATTAGGTTCCCATTTTTGATTTGTGTATATACAATGGATATATAAACAAAAATTATGACTATCAGATGTTGTCAAATGATTAATGACACAATTACAGAAGGTAGAACAAAGCTACCTTACCCTTTTTTATAGCCTGCACCATACATAGTATGGAGGGTATATTAAGTTCGTCATTCCGTTAGTAACTAAGCTAATAATAATTTTAGACAGGACAAAGTATATACAATGTGAGATCAAAAAAAAACTGCAATAAAGTCAAACGCCATAATTTTTATTTTTTTTTTTTAATTGTATTGATTGAAAGCAAACAATATCGGAAATATCATCAAATTTTAGAATAAGTTTAGATTTGTTTGAATTGGTCACCTATGATACGAATTATGGCCTTCAAACGGCCAATGAAAACGTCAAGTGCTGCGTGCGATGGTGCTGAGTCCTTTTGGAATGTCCAAGGTCTGCGGCCCAAGGCTTTAATACACCCTCCAGAATATTTTCGCGATAATATTAGCCATTTATTCTGATGCCACGGTCGATTAATACGAGTGACCATCGGCTGTTATGGCGGCCCACACCATCACCATGGCCGGCTCTCGAGTTCTGATGGGCAACCGAAGGTTCACATTTCCAGCTGACCTCTTTAGCAAGTAAACACGATCATTTTGTTTGTTTACAAACTGCTGAGCAACGACTGTTTTCTCATCGGAGAAACCTAAATTCGCCAGTTCCCCACTTTCGGCCAAGCAAAGCAACTCTTTAGCTCTTTTGAGTCTATTTTCTTTCTGTTGCGGAGTAAATTCTTGCACTTTTTGGAATCTCAATGGCTTTACCCCGAGCTCATTTTTCAATATGTTACGAATGGAATATTGCGATATGTTCGGCTCACGAGCCATTTTTCGGCCACTGCGACGCGGGTTTCGAACCATTTCTACTGATCTTGCTGTTTTCTTCCGTCCACTTCCTTGACTTCGGGCTACGCTAACAGTACATCACGGTAGCGAGCGATGGTACGAGACACAAAATACTTATTCACATTTAAATGCTGGAAAGCTCTAACGATAGCCACTTGTGGTTTTCCAGGCAAATGTAAAGAAATCACGCTATCACGCTTGAATTCCATCACGAATAACTTTTTTTCTGCAAAATTCTCACCAAAATGCTTTTGTATGCTTCTAAACAATATAATGAGCTGTCACTGGAATAATTTTACCAGCTGTCGGACGAGTGGAATAGAAATGACATCAGCCTGAAGTTGGTACTGAAGTATTGAAGTTTTTTCACCTCACCCTGTATAGGTATTTCGAATTCGTAATAGGTACTACAGCCTATTACAAAATGCGTATGCAGGCCCATGTCTTCGTAAAGCCTCCATATAACTCTAAATATTCGGTAATTGGATGATTTTAGCAACATTACTCACCAGATTTGTTTTAAATTTCGTATTTAGAGTTCGTAATGGGAGCTACAGTCTATGAGATAAAATTTTCTATGTCCAGGTCTTCGCATAGGCCCCATATATCATTACCTCTCTATTTTCGGCATTTTGAATTTTTTAGGTACAATATTCACCAAAATTGTTTGAAATTTCGAATTTGAAGTTCCTATGAGTTAAGCTGGAAATGCATAAAGAGCATATTTGGCTGGCTTAAGTCATCGGCTGGCTTCTTCGGAAATGAACAAAGGAGCCTAGGGCCAAAATCGAACTAAGTCAACCTAAAACTCCTTTGTTCATCTACGAAGAAGCCAGCCGATGACTTAAGCCAGCCAAATATGCTCTTTATGTATTTCCAGCTTTACACAGTCTGTGACAGAAAATTGTATATACAGGTCCATGTCTTCATATAGCCCCGAAATAGCGGTACCTCCGTATAATAGGTATTTTGATGATTTTATCTACATATTCACCGGATTTTGTTTTCAAGTTTCGTATTTAAATATTGAGATGGCTTATGAAAAAGTTGCCTATGCAGGTCCACGTCGTCGTATAGACCTCAATATAACGGCTATATTCGGTATTTTTAAGATATTAATAGAATTTTAAATTTTATTTTATTTATTTATTCTGTCTATGCCTATGCAGGTCCACGTCGTCGTATAAACCTCAATATAATGGCTATATTCGGTATTTTTAAGATTTTAATAGAATTTTAAATTTTATTTTATTTATTTATTCTTTTTTTAAATTTCCAAATTCGTTCCAAATGGTGCTTTTTGCTTTTTTACTTGTATATAAGCATATAACCGATATTTCCCTTATGATATCGAAAAAAAAAAATGCAACACGGATTTTGTTTAAAGAAAATCAACCTACCCTAACACGTAGTGATTGTATCATGGGACAAACTAGGATTTTTATTTAACAATCTTTGAAAGATTTTATCATGGTACAATGAATTCAAGGTAGGGCAGAACTACCATATGATTTAAATTTTTTATTTTTCTGGCTTAATGTGTCAACTTCATTTGCTTATGTGTGTGTCTTCTTTTCAATAATAAAAAATTGTTCAGAAAATATTCAAATTCGGGTGTTTTCAAAATGCTTTTTGCAACGAATGCATCGACAAAAGCTACAGTTTTTGTCGCGAAATAAACCATAAGAGATATATAGAACATGATATTGAAAATAAACTTTGACCATTCATTCAGTTTTCGCGGTTTTAAATTATTTATTCAAAATCAATGCAACAAGTTGTTTGCTTTTTTATTGTTTTGATAGTAATTCCGACATTACAAGCCAAACAGGTAGACCTCTATACTTGCAATTTTTTCAAAGTTGACCTACCTTCTCTTCATTGTACCATGGATTTTATATATAATATTTACAAACGGTAAATAAATCCACCAAGGAATACAGTTTTATAAATGCTTAATTCAAACAGTGGTTATGACCAACAAACCTTTTTCATGCAATTTACCTTAAGTTATTCCACTAGCACCATGTGTCTCCCAGATAACGTACAAATAACGGACACCAGCCTATGGCATAAGCCTTTTTTAATAAATTTACCCGCACAGGAGTTGAATGTAAATTGTAAACAATACCAGAAATGATATTCAAACAAACTCTTCACTGATTCAAGCGAATTGTCCATAAAATGACTGCGAAGATGAAATTTTTGGAATACAAATATGCTTTCAAAGCACCAACGTAATGTTTACATAGTATCTTCCCACCACCCATTAGATATCAAATGGTGGAAGGTTTTTTTCTTTAACGCGCAACACGGAAATCCGAAAACCAAGTTCTTAATGTAGCTTTAAATGGTTCCATTTAACACGTATATTGGAGCCACCATACACATTTCGAGGAATGCAAACGGTTATAACACATCGGCCCGCGCACAAAATTTCTATGAATAAACGAACGAACCGAACACAAAGACCTGTTGCGAATGACTGTTGAACCATTACTGAGTCTAAAATACAGCTGATTAATGTTGTAAAACCACACCACTTTGGTGTGTCCATGTTGACAATGCAACACGTTGTTGAAGGACTTTGTCATTGCCAAAGAAAGCTTTTTCTTGTGTATGTGTGTGCGTGTGTGTGCAGGATATGGATACCAGGATTTTTACAAAGAGGGGAAAGGAATATTTGGTAAACAAAACCAAAAAAGCTTAATTTGCGCCATTAGAAAAGTACCTAATCAGCTGTGATAAGAGTTTCCAAAAGTGTTTAAAATCAATCTCTAAAAAACCTAAAAAGAATCATACCTAAATATTTGCGTTTGACCATGGCTCAATAAGCAAGGTTGTTCAACTTCAAAGAAACTACAAAAATGCAACTCTATGCTGGAGTCTTAAGCTGGAAATACAAAAGCGCATATTTGTCTGGCTTAAGTCATCGGCTGGCTTCTTCGGAAATGAACAAAGGAGCCTAGGGCCAAAATCGAACTAAGTCAACCTAAAACTCCTTTGTTCATCTACGAAGAAGCCAGCCGATGACTTAAGCCAGCCAAATATGCGCTTTATGTATTTCCAGCCTTATAGTGTCAAATAGTCTTTTAAATATACAACAGTTAAGCTGGAAATACATAAAGCGCATATTTGGCTGGCTTAAGTCATCGGCTGGCTTCTTCGTAAATGAACAAAGGAGGTTTAGGTTAACTTAGTTCGATTTTGGCCCTAGGCTCCTTTGTTCATTTCCGAAGAAGCCAGCCGATGACTTAAGCCAGCCAGATAAACGCTTTATGTATTTCCAGCTTTAGGTTTGTTAATTTTTATTTTGATAGCAAAATGCTTATGTTGGAAAAAAACCCGCGAAACAAGAATGGAATTTCGGCGTTATTTCACAAGATTGCATCTAAAATTATAGGACAATACAGTTTTATCACAAAATTGTACAATTTGCTACCCATTTACGTCGAAAAGTTGAATTTATTTTGCAACCAAATTTGAAATAATTTCAAATTATTGCATTTTTTATTCAAAACAATACACACACACACATACAGAATGTGTATAAGTCTTGACAGAATAAGGTCACCAAAAGAAAAAAATATTTTGTGCTACCTTCTGTAATTATGCCATGCGTATGACCATGGTACAATGAACTTCTACCAATCGATTTTTTATTTGCCTGGCTTAACATGTCAAAAAAAGATTGACTTAGTTCGATTTCGGTCCTACGATCCTTTGTTCTATTACGAAGAATCCAGCCGATGACATAAGCCAGTATTCTCACCTTTATTATTGTGCCATGCTAACACTATTTTGAATCTACAAAAATAACGATGCGTTTGCATTAATAGCAAAACACCAAAATGTGTCTTTATAAAGGTGAGAGTACATAAAACGGCTTTTTGACTGACTTAAGTCGTCAGCTGGCTTATTTGTAGTGGAAGAAAGGAGTTTTAGGTAGACTTAGTTCAATTACGTTACTTCGTTCTTTTCCAAAAAGCCAGGTGACGACTTAAGACAGTCAAAAGCATTTTAAGGTGAGAATGCATAAAACGCTGTTTTGACTGGCTTAAGTCATTGGCTGGCTTCTTCGTAAAAGAACAAAGGAGCGTAGAGTCAAAACCGAACTAAGTGAACCTAAAAGTTCTTTGTTCTTTTACGAAAAAGTCATCCGATGACTTAAGCCAGTCAAAAAAGCGTTTAATGTATTCTCACCTTACAGTAGACGGCCCGAAAACTAACCTTTTATCACGTTCGATTTATTTTCTTTCTCATTTGCCCGTTGTGTCAAAAATTGTTAGAATGTATTGTTATCTAAATGTGCTCGACAGCGATGAAAATATTCGACCACATTTATTTTCGGCAGTAAAATACAACCCTACTCCAAGAAAATTTCTATTGTGTAAATGCCAGGTAATATTTATTTCAATAATTATAGACACAAATTGTGACACAGCATTCTTCTTGACTTTATGTCTAAAAAATTGTCGTTGCTATTTTTGTATCTATTATTTATATTATTGTATTAAAATGTATCTTATTGATATATATCATCACGTTCATCAATAACATTTAATCCTACCATAAACCAAAGCCTTAATTACGCGATTTGCAAAAATTCGGTATTTACATTCGTATATTCAAAGGAATTGATAATGCAAATAACGCGTTTCATAAAAACATGTTCGGTGTAAATACACCTTAAATTTTATTATAAAATATTTTCGTCTATGACACAATGGAATTGAATTGAACTAAATGAACTACGTGAAAGAAAGGAACTACGCAAACAAAAGTAATGGTTATTGTTCCCTTCGTTCATTATACGAAATCATTGCTTTGAACCGACGATACAACTCTGTTAATCGCCATTTTTTCATGTTCGCGGCATCTTGTCATTCAGCTATTCATTCGTATTTGTTCTACTTTTTCATTCAAGTACAATAAATCACTGCGATCTTTAGAAATAATTAAGCAAAACATTTAATATAAATCGTTAATCATGGCCTATTACAATGTAAAAATGCCTGAGGTGCAAGTAAAATTCGATTGGGACGACATTGATGTGGGCAACGATCAGTTAGATCATTCGGAGAATTTTTTTGGTATGGATTGAGAAAATAAAACTATTTGCGCCAAAACAACCGTTAATTTCCAAATTTTATTGAACATTTTAGCTATTAAACATTATGAACACGAAAGACTGGAAGACATAGGATTACTGGAAGAAGAAATGGGTAAGAACTAAAGTGGCACATTCTTTTGGAACCATTCATCATGAACATTAATTCTTACAGCCAAAACAGAACTGACAGACATTGAGGAACAGTGTGTGATTTATAAGATTGAAAAACATGACAATACCATTACAGCAGAGGAAGAGGAGGAGAAAGAATATGACAAAGAAGATAAGGAAAACAAAGACAGCTCCATAAACTCCAGCCAGAATGAAGAAGAGGTAAAATCGCCGGCAGATGTAAAACCCCAAAATCATACTGACAATGGACATCAGGAGTCACACTTAGATAAGACTGTGCAACAAACAAATTTGGCACCAAAGTTAAATTTGGTCTGTCAATGGTCCACTCAAAAACCAGCCACCAAAAAATGTCACACGCAGGCAGCTACGTCTAAGGGAGCGGTTTCAAAAAGTATGCCACCACCACCACAAGCCTACTTAGTAAAGGATTTGTATCAGAAAAAACGCGAAGAAGCTGAACGCCGAAGAGAGGAAGAGGAACGTAAACGACGAGAATTTCATTCGAGACCCGTACCAAATTTCAATGCTTGTCATCAACTCATGCAGAAACGGAAACCATCGCATGCTTTCACAGTGGCAGTGACCCCTAAAGTTCTGAAAAAATCCAAAGAAGCCGAGGAGAAACGAAAGCAAAGGGTAAGGTCTTAAGTGCAAAATAACAAACAATTCTTATTGAATTCTCTGAATTTGCCTTTAGTTGGAGGAATGGAAACAAAAGAGCCAAGCTCCTAAATTCGAATCCCGACCGCCAACTGTCCTCAAAGAGAAGCCCTTTGTACCCGAAAAGAAACCATTGGTCATACAACAGTGTCCCTTCAATTTGCATACGGAAAAACGTTTGGCCGAGCGTAAACATTACGACGAGGCAAAACATAAAGCGCTGGAGGAAAAACGAAAACAGGTAGAAATTGTAAGCACGTTCGCATTTAACAGCATACTGTTTTGTTTTCATGTCCATATGCGTGTTATATACATGTGTTGAGTGTGTTGTAAATGTGTGTGCTTATCATTTAATTTTGTCAATCCTTTCCTAACTCCTAGTCCTTGAAATTACTAACATGTGCATGTGAAACACTAACCTATGATAGGCTTGGGTGAATCGATGAAGTGATAAGTTTTATACTTGATATTGTAGCTTAATTTAAGTTGTCCTTTGACGACAAAAAAAAACCTTATTTCTTCAAACTTAAATTGGAGAATATAGTAAGGTTGTAATTGCTTTGCCATTAGACAGAAAATATATATATTATTGAGCCGTTAAAGTTGGACCAAATAAGGGACTCCCTTCGCTACGTATCTTAATATTTTGACACTTTAGTGGAAATTATCAACTTTAGGACTCCCAACGTAGCAAGGGAACTAGTTGTTTAAAAATTTCATTAGTTGATGAGGTGCCGAATGGATTTAGTTAGAACATGACCAATTCAACTCAAATCATATTTTCTTCTTATTATTTTTAATACTATTTTTGTAGTAATTGAACCCTTTGTCTATTTTATACCATTCGTTCATTTTGGTGATTTGAGCCATGGCTTCCATCGTCTGCATTCGTACCTTCCTTTTTGTGATTCGTGCCTTTGTCAGTTGTAAAGCTTTGCGGTTTTGAAAGATTTATTTTGACAGTTATTCCTGGCAACTGACATCTGCCCTCAACAGTTTGTGCACTTTTTTTTAGTTTTGCGTTTCTTTTCGGTCTGTTGTAGTCGTGAATTTGCCTTCTGTCTGACATTGATATTATTTTCTATTTTTATGTGTTTCTCTTTCGGTGTTTTTTAGTTTATGATTTTATCAATATAACAGAAGTAATATTCTCAACAGTATATAATAAAAAATGCATTTAAGCGATTTACTAGTTGTTGCCTCCAATTTTTTGCACAAAAGATGATTTTCAGTAGGACATTTGGTCGTTCATTCAATTTTCTATATTTGTGTTATTTGTTGTTTTTGTTGACTGTTTCGTGTGTGTTGTGTGCAGGTTGTCACTGTGAGACGAAAGAGAGAAAATTGACGATGTATTGTTTACTCTTCCATTTTGAAAACAGTGTTGTAAAGTCTTCCGAATCATTTATCTAAACGATAGCGTACAAAAACAAAATTTAATGGCGTAAAGGGCGAAGCGTCACGTAACATCAAGAGGACAAAATTTCAAGTCTCCATATCTTAATCCTTCCATTTCGCGAATTTCTCTTGTTATTAGTAGTTTGATTAAACTAACAAGACTTTTTTTTAACTTTGTCAACTTGCCCTTTTATGTATATAATAACCTGATAGATAGCTGAATCTCATTCTATGTTCTCGTATTGCCAAAAGTTTAATTTTTTCGATTGTCTGCGAAGGAGACCTCATAAATATATATATTGGACATTTCGTTTAAGTGCATACCAATCTGTTTTGTAATGGTCTCAGTCGCGTTTTCAACATAATTGCTTGTATTTTATAATTTTAGGCACTTAAAAGTTAAATATTATGATGCAAACGATTTTTAATCTGACAAGAAAACAGATCCTACATTGGGCATTTACCCCACATAACGGTATCTTATAACTTTACGAAATTTGTCCTGCAATATAAAATGTCGACTAATATATTTTGGGAACACCCTTTATAGTAAATTTGCCAATTTACACTTCTTTCAAACCGTATATTTTCGTTCATTTTTGTACTCCCCACACCATTTTTCCATTTACGTTATACGACAGCGCTTCTTATTTTTACACTTAACAACACTCATTGCATTTAAAAGTCACACGCACACACATTGACAAATAATAACAACAAATACACAATAGCCGCAGCAGAGGTTTGACAATCAACAGACTCTCCCCGTTTCTTTTTGTGTGCTTTTACGGTTGAGTGAGCGAGTGAGTGTATGGCTATTTTGTGTGTTGCACAAAACGTCTTACGAAGTCGAATTATTAAACTGTGGATTGTACCAATCTATACGTGAATGTATTTTTATTTTTTTTATAGAATAATTAATTTTTATTATTGAAAAATAACGGAACAAAAGAAATAAAGACAAATAGTGCAAACGTCAAAGCGAAGAAGAAATATCAGAAAAATACGTGTAAAAATATTCTCGAACTAAACTAATAATCACTTCCGCTCGTCGTCGTTGTTCCAAAAGAAAGGCAAACAACAAAAGAAACTAAAAGCGTAAATTAAGTTTTCGTCGTCGCGAAGAAGCAGATTTTGCTCTTGAAGTCTTTTTTAATAGAAACAATAAAAAATATAATAAAATATATTTTTGATACTTTTGTAAAAATAGCAAAAAAAAAAAATTAAAACGACATAGCAAATATTCCACACAAACAAAATGGTTGATCGTTTGGTAAATTCCGAAGCCAACACCAGGCGTATTGCCACAGTGGAAAATTGTTTTGGCGGTGCAGGTGTGCCACTGGCCATACCTGGCCGTGTCTTGGTGGGGGAGGGTGTCTTAACCAAAATGTGCCGCAAACGACCAAAATCACGCCAGTTTTTCTTGTTCAATGATATTCTGGTCTATGGCAATATTGTTATTGGCAAAAAGAAATACAACAAACAACACATAATGCCTTTGGAAGAGGTTTCATTGGAGGACATTGACGATTGTCCCCAATATCGCAATGGCTGGCTGATACGCACCACCACCAAATCGTTTATTGTGTGTGCGGCCACCGAGACGGAAAAGAAAGAATGGATGGCCCATATCAACAAGTGTGTTGAGGACTTGCTAAAGAAATCGGGTAAAAAGCCTGTGGAAAAGCATGCTGCCGTATGGGTGCCCGATGCAGAGGCCACCGTCTGCATGCATTGCAAGAAGACGCAGTTTACAATGATTGTACGACGTCACCATTGTCGTAATTGTGGCGCCGTCGTCTGCGGACCATGTTCATCCAAGAAATTCCTTTTGCCCCAACAAAGTTCCAAGCCCCAAAGGGTGTGCACTAGCTGTTACGAACGTTTGAGTAATGCTGTCAAGCAGGAGTCGGCCAAGATATCATCGAATTCACTGAACACAACTACAGCAACAGCCAACAACAAAGATACACACAATAATGCCAATAATGAATCATCTGGCGATGATGATTCCGAAGATGAGACCAACGGTAGCGGCAACGAACAGCATGATGAGCCCAAATTCTATGGAGATAGCAGTATTTTATCGACAACAGAGACCAATAATACAGCCCATGTAAATTCTAGTCATAATTGATATTTAAAGAAAAGCCGGGAAAGAGCCGGAGGAGGAGGTGCGGGAGTGGGACCAGCAAAAGGATCAGTTGGCGGAGGAGGAGATGATAGTTGGGTGTGGGTGGTGAGAAAAACAAAATGAGAATAGCATATTTGATCAGCAGCAGCAACAGTAGCAGGATTACAGAAAACACAAGAAACCCCAGCAAATAGGAGGTGGAGGAGTGACGGAAGATATAATACGATAGATGAACGTTTAACGTTGCAGTTGTTAATATTTCTATTTCTAGCATCAACAATAACAAAAAAACAAACTACAAAATGTTTTATAGTACATTTTCTTCATTTTAACGATATATACCTATTAATATGTATAAATCAAGGATCCAAATTCGTTTACTAACAACGAAACAAAAAAGGATATGCCAATGTCCACCTGAAAATTATTGTTATTTTCTTTTTAAGAAATAATGGTGAGTTTTGTTTTTCATTTTTTGATTTTTTTATTTAAATTTTTAATTTTCAAAGCCATTTGCTTTGCTGCTGGCTGATGGTTACTGGCATTGAGTGGTACCATTTGCCTTTTGTCGTTTAATCTTATCTAAAGCTCATACATGGTTTTAAACAAATGCTCTTACGCAGTTTTTTCTTCTCATTTTTGCCTATGCCGTTGTCGTCGTTCATTGTATATTAGCAATAAACAAGTTTTTTGAGCTTTTTTTTTTTTTTTTTGTTATCGCGCTTATTTTTATTTGTTTGTTTCTCTTTCTCTCGTTTTCAACGAAAAATTTTCTCCAGCTAATCTTCTTACTGTTAAATTAAAAAGACCAACAATAAGATGATATGAGCTGTCATATTGTTTAAGTAAACCCACGACGACAATATGTTTGCTTTTCAAATTGGAATATTCATACGATGAACTAAGTACGGTCCATAATGAAGGGTATATACATATACATTTTATTGCCCTGAATCATCCATATATATTTACATACATACATCCATATACCTATTCTAGTTAAAACAAATGGCGTTCTGTAGGTACGTTGAATTTAATCTGGTATTATTTATAGGTAGTGTTAGTAAATAAGACTGATATTCTGTGTATTTCGGAAAACCCAATAATTGATCTGTTAAAAAAACTGCAAAAATCTACTTCATTCATTTTTTATTTTTTAAACATATGCCATTGTAAATTCGTTTAGTACGAGAGAAAGCACAGAACAGCAATACTTGAAATCGACTCGAAATATTTCAAAATTCGAGCGTCCCTTACTACTATTGAATATAAACCCAATGGCTTTAATAAATCAAGTGGTTTAAACTTGTTTGTTTATAAACAACCTTAGGTAAATATGGCGCTCAGCTGATGTTTGTTTACGTATACATGGACATCTAAAAAATAATGCAAAAATAATTGTGGTGATAAAGCTTATATAAAAACAATTTCTGAAAACAACCTGAGATAGTTATTATATTTCCTACCCTATTGATTATACATACACTCATAAGAAGATCTATTTTTATATCCTCCACTTTACTATAGAAGGTATATTAACTTTGCCATTCGGTCTGTAATTCCTCGAAATACTTATATAAAGTGGTCTGTGGGTTGTAGTCATGTCATCTTTTGAACGAATTGAGATGGAAGACCCATATTGGTCCATGTTATCGTATAGCCCCTATACATTGGGTCTTCCCGATAATTCGAACCATTTCTGTTGCTGTTTTCTTCTTACTTGACGTCGGGCTACGCTACCAGTATCATGGTAACGAGCGATGGTACGAGACACAAAAGATTTATTCACATTTAAATGCTGGAGTGCTCTAACGGTAGCCACTTGTATTTTTCCAGCCAAATATAAAGAAATCACACTATCACGCTTGAAATCCATCATGAACAGTTTTTTTTTTCTGGAAAATTCTCACCAAAATGCTTTTGTACGCTTGTAAACAATATAATGAGCTGTCACTGGAATAGTTTTAACAGCTGTCGGATGAGTTGCTTAGAAATGACAGCAGCCCGAAGTTTTTTCATCCCACTCTGTATATCTTCGATATAGCACTTATACTCTTGGTCAAAATTTGTCAACATTGATTCAAGTTTGGATATAGCCCCCATATATATCTTCGCCTAATTTCAAGTCAATATCATCCTTAATAAGATGCATTCTGGCATATGCCACAGAATTTAATCTTATAAGTATTATGTCCAATTTGAAGAAAACCGGTTCATCCAATTTGATATTAATGCCGGCCAAAAGTGAAATATGCATACCATGGCAACGACATTTGGTGCCATATATGAAATAAAGCCTAGATACCAAATATGCACTTGTGGTGTAGAGTATCACCAGTTCAGCCCAGTTCGATTTTTGTCCTTTTTTCCTGGTTTGTTATTTAAAAGTAGTTTTTTTTTTAATTTCATGAGAAAGAAAGAAATCAAATGCTCCCCGATTTTCCGATATTTATTTCCAAGGCAGATATTTTGGGCACATTAAGAGAAAGTTTAGATCCGATTCCATCCAAATGATATAAGTAATATAAACCCCCAAGAATTTATATTATTATTGAGTTATTTTATATGTTCGAGATTTATAGCATTTAACTCTTTTTTTATGGGGCCTTATCCTTTTTGCACTTTAAAAAAAAAGCAATGGTAAAAATATCCTTAAATTATTTTTCTTCTCTGTATGCTGTTCACTGAAGTTCATACTAGGACCACTTTATAACCTGTCTTTCTTCCATACAAAAATTTAAGAAATTAAAATCATTTCAAATAATCACCCCCATCTCTGAATTTGTTATAATTTGCTGTCGAATACGTTCATTTTAATTTTAGAAATCATCTTTAAAATATCTGGAAAATATTAATGTGTCTACTGGAAGATATTATATAAAAAGAAAGCGTACATACAACCGTATAGAGTCTTATCATTTTTAATTCAAGTTCTTGTTTTAAACACAACCAGATCTCATCAATCCGATAATATTCTATTTTTCGGTATGTTGACTTAATATCCCGCACACATATCGCTTAAGAAATGATCAAAAAGTCTAAAGCACATGAAAGGGAAATTATATTTTGCAGTGTAGGTATATTTTTCTTGTTTTGGTACTCTATAAATACCAATTCCGTTTTATATTTCTTGTTTTCTACCATTTCATTGCTAAGTGATGGCTCCAATGCCACCACCATCTCCACCTACTGCTAAAAGTCAAAGACATTATCGCGACGACGACGACTACGTCGGAGGCAATGAACATCAATGATGGCAAATTTAGCTTCATAATGATGATGAAGCATCATATAATTTACCGTATATAATTTTATTTTTATCTTATTGTATAGATGGGTTTGTTTTGCTTTTTTACTTTCGTATATAAGTTTGTACACAACAGACACACACACATACACCAACATTTGATCATGTAACACACGGTGAATGTGGTTACACAGTGTCATATGTTTTGTTTTTGGACATCCAGCCACCTAAAAATAATACACTTTCATTTATTTGGTATCATAACTCGGTGTTATGATGTTGATTTGATAAATGATGATTATGATGTTTTACTTTTTGCTTTGATTTTAAGAGAAGTTGGTCAACGTTTTAGTTGCGGCATCATTGTTTTTCAATTCAAAGTTTTGGTTTTTTACCAATGCAAATAGTTAGATTCTACACAAAGATATCATTTTAGAAATATATGGAGCAAATATGGATCTACTTGTTTTACAGGAAGAGATTAAGTAACGTATAGCCTCCATATAACGGTACCCCCGATATTCGGTATTTTGATGATTGTAACCAAATTCTTCAATGAAATTAACTGAAAATTCACAAAAGGAGTTCCTTCTGAGTATATAGGTCCACGATATCCCCCATATTACGGTACCTCCCTATAATCGGTATTTTGATCATTTTAGCTTTTTTGATGATTTTTTCAATGGAATTGTCTAAAAATACATACTAGAAGTTAACATTGCCACCTGCAAGATAAATTTCTATATACAGGATGACAAAGTCAAATGCCATGATTTTAAAATTTTTTTTTTTAAATTTTATTGAATGAAAGCAAAAAATTTCGGAAATAGCATTAAATTTTAGAATAAGTTTAGATTTATTCAAATTGGTCACCTTTGGCACATTTTATGGCCTTCAAACGGCCAATGAATCTGTCACACGCTGCCCGAATGTTGCTCAGCGATATTTTGGTCCATTCCCGGCGAAGGGCTAACTTCAGGTTATAGACACTTTGGTATTTTTAGTGCCAACCTTGCTTTCCAAAATACTCCAGACACAATAGTCCAACGGATTGGTATCCGGAGATTTTGGTGTCCATTGTGTGTTTGAAATTTCGTATTGGAAGTTTCTAATAGGTACTACAGCCTGTGACAGAGAATTGTCTACGCAGGTCCAGGTCTTCCTATAGCCCCGATATAGCCGTACCTCCCTATATTCGGTATTTTGATAATTTAAGCTACATTATTCACCGGGGGTTTTTTTAAAGTTTCGTATTTGAATATTGTAATACTTTATGATAAAAGTTTAATAGAATTTTTAAATGATTTTATTTTTTTGAAAATTTCCAAATTGGTTCCAAATGGTGGAGGATATTCAAAGTTCGGTCCGGCCGAACTTACTGCTTTTTTACTTGTTTTTTTTTTATTTTTTTTGTTCAAACTCAAATGTTCATTAATCGAAAGTCAAAGTGCCAACTCCAATGCTGTTACGACCTGCTGGATTCCGTGTTGTGGAGGTGGGAAAGGCCATGGTTATTGACAATCTATTATTTGATTGCAATGAACACTTCGAAACGGTCAAGTTCAACATCCCTTACAAGATTATTGCAACGAAAACAATGCTGACATAATTTGAGAATATCCGTCTTACCATACAAATGGTCCACATGCTTAATAAGGAACCGTTCTGACAGTAATATCTACCGTATTGCCTGTAGACTACGAAGAATTGTGTAGAGATTTTGCATGTGCCTCGCTTCACCTTCAAAATCATATTGTGCTGAATTCTACGAAATCATATCATAACTTCATTACATGCCCATTTCGCAATATAACAATACGCCTTTCATTTCCCACAGAAAAAATTAGCATTTGCAAAAATGTATTTTTTGACTATTTACTGCCTTTATCTCCGTTTATTTTGACTGGTTGGTTGGCTACTTGATGGGCTTATCTTGAGTAGATCTATAAATTTTGCTCATGCACAACTTGTATAAGTTGTATGTGTATACATACATATAAATATTATAATATTGTTGGAGAAAATAAGCTTTAATTTGTATCACATTT